TTAGAATTTGTCAACTAACACTTGGGGGAGAAAAAGAATAAGTGAGACAAGGTATGTCAAGAACCCTGCACAATGCCCTGTTCGGCATTATTGATTTCATAACTATTCACTAAGCCACTGGTGGTGGCATCAGCCCAGAACCAGGGATGGGCATTCCAGACAGTGATCTGGAAATACACAACGATTTCTAGAGTGAAAGCATCACATGACAAAAGTGTGAACACACTGACCAGAGAGAGTGCTGAGTGCTATGAAGACAGCCCACAGGTGAGAGGCTGAGGACCCAGGGGTGGGGGTGGGAGTGTCACATTGGCCTGGTGCCCTCTGGGCCTCTAAGCAGGTGGAATGTGAGCTAAGGATGGGCCATGCCAGGGATCCAGCTGTGCAGAAAGTCCCTTCCTCTCCTCAACTGTGTGTTCAGGGGCCCTAGAAGGGCCCAGGATGCCACAGGAAGTGACATCAATCAAGAACCATGAGTGGGCACGTTTGCTTGCTCTCTGGGAAAATAAGCTGTGGTTTAATTTATGCTCTTATAATTCTTCAGTCTGTTCAAACTGGCCAGATACCATCGACCCCCCTTGACCAGTGAACTCAATGGTGCAAGAACAGGAAGGGGGTGATGTTTGTTCCTGCTGGGCCCCTTCCTGGAACCAGCTGATGATCCAGAACTGGCATTAGAGGAAATCTCAGTGGTCCTTTACTGAGGCCCTGAGACTCTCCAAGATGCTTCTCAGACATACAATTAACAAATGAGAGGACATTCAAACTCATTCGTAAAGAAATGCAAATTGAAATTCAATATTTTCACCCATCAGATTGGTAAAGACTCAGATTGATAATGTGAGGTGCTGGTGAGGCCGTGGGGAACAGCCCCTCATCCACTGTTCAGTGTCTTGCAGGTAATCAGAGGTGGGATTTTTTAAAACAATGTGCAAGGATGGTCAATGAGTTATACTCATATCTACAGCGTTGCAGCATTGCAGTAATTATGTCACCCACATAGAAACAGCTCAAATGTTCACCAGCAGGAGACTCAAACAAATTATGCATAGGTATACATCTAATATGAGTGATGTTTCGGAAATAGATGTATGTACATATTACAACAGTATAGGTTAGTGTATGTATTTTTAAAAAAATCCAGAAGCCTGTATTCCAAAATGTTAATAACAAAGATCCCTGGGGCATGAAATACTGGGTACCTTCATTTTCTATAGTATGTATTTCTGTAGCATTTACATTGTGTATCACAAGTATTACTGTTGCAAGCAGAAAACAAAAGTGAGGGAAAGTGAGAGAGAAGAATGGAATGAAGGAAGGACTGCAGTGGATATTTGTCCCTCTTTGGCCAGCTGGCATCTGAGCCCCCTTGAAACATTTGGTAATTCACCCAGCTTAGGATGTCCCACCACTGAAGTTATAAATGGCCTTCTGGCACCAGGACTGCTGTGGCTGTGCTGTGGGAGGTACATGGAGATAGCACCAAAGCCTAGTCCTCACCTTGAGGCAGCCCGAGGAACCCATGTGGGACTTGGTTTCCTGACACTTGCAACCAGAGTCTTTAACAATATGCTAACATAAGGCAAACAGGGGGCAGGCGTGGGAAGGATACTTGGTGTCTCATGAAATCCACAGAATTGAACAATCAAGCCTTAGGAAGGGCTGAAACCAGACAAACTCTGGGGGCCTGAATGGGGTTTGCGGACCTTCTCTGCCCATTGGGAATTCTGGCAATGCCCAGCGCTGTGTCTCTTAGATCAAGGGCCAAATTCCTGCGAAGGAGAATCTGATTGGCCTGGCTGAGATGCGATGGTAAAAGGGTGAAGGTACAAATGTTCTGGGAGACCACCCACGTCCACAGAGCCATCGGGGGAGGCAGCCATCTGGGGGCGTTGCTTGTACTGGTCTGCTAGGGCTGCCACAGCAAAGTACCACGGACTGGGGGGCTTAGACAACAGACTTTATTCTCTCCCAGTTCTGGAGGCTAGAAGTCCAAGATCAAGGTGTCGGGGGGTTGGTTCTCTCTGAGGGCTGTGAGGGCGACTCTGTTCCTTGCCCCAACCCGCTTCTTGCTGGTGGTTGGTGCAATTTTTGGTGTCCTCAGCTTGTAGACGCATCACTCCAATCTCTGCCTTTATCTTCACATGGTGTCCTCCCTGTGTGCACGTCTGTGTCCAAATTTCCCCTTTTAATAAGGACACCTTTTCCTTGACAAGGAAAATTTTGGCAGACTAGTGGGAACAGAAACAGATTGTTGTGATTTAAGGTGTGTCTGGGATGTGACAAAATGGAGACAGAGAGTAGAACAATGTCCCTGTTGAGGAAGGTTGGTCATGACAAGGAAGCAACACATAGGGTATTAGCAGGAAGAGGATATTGGATTCTGGGATGTGACAAAATGGAGACAGAGAGTAGAACAATGTCCCTGTTGAGGAAGGTTGGTCGTGACAAGGAAGCAACACATAGGGTATTAGCAGGAAGAGGATATTGGACCCAGGGAGGCATTTAAAATGCGAGCATGCTTAATGATGACGGGAAAGAACCATAGAAAGGGACAGATTAGAGAAATTAGAGGGAAGAGGAGATCATCGTGGTGCAAGCTCTCAAGAAGCCATAGCTGGATATCCACACACCAGGCACGTTAACAGATGCTCAGTTAGTATTTGTGAAATGAAGGCATGACTGTAGGCAGGAAGGGACAGAACCCAGGAAACAGGTGGAGGGACTGGCCAGGGCCACCTTTTGCGTCCCCTCTAACTTCTGCTGTCCACTCTTCTCGCATGGCTGTAACATGGCCACCAGCATTATGGCCACCTCCTGACCTCTGAGCACCAGTGCCCACCACTGACTCCCCATAGGCACTGTGTCCCCCAGTTCAAATTCCAGACAGAATTTAGGATGCCCCTGGGTGCCTTTGAGTTGGTAGCCCAGCCCAGAAAGGTCAGCTGTGGCCAGGAGAGCCAGGCCTCGGGGTGTCCCCCATGGGATACAGGGAGTGTGCCTGAGAGTGACACACAATGTGCCTCACACTGACTCTCTCTGACCTGAAATACCTGGAAAGTGAGAGATCCTTGATTTTATAAACTGGTCACTAATCATCATCCCTATCTAAGAAAGAACAGGAGGACGTTCCCTCTCAGCTCCAGACCACACAGAAGATGGACAAGCAACCAGGTCTCAGCAGGGACCCCCACCTCTGAAAGGGGAAACAGAGGACAGAATGTAGGGACATTAAAAAAATATTTTACATACTTTACTTTGAATTATTTACATTTTTATAATTAACTTTATTCACCCTAAAGAGTAACTTACAATATGCAATTTTTTAAAAAACTGAATTTTAGCTTAAGAAGATCCATAAATATATTTTCTTTGTAGAAAGCGGAAACATTCTAGATAAGGTTGAAGTGTCCTAGACTAATCCCCCGTCTTCCTCCCCAAATAGCAGAATCCACTATTATCAGTTTGGTGTGAATCATTCCACACCTTTCAAAATGTATTTTCATGCATATATATGCCCCCACATTAAATATATAGTCTGGGGTTTTGAAGGAAGTAAACATAAAATGTTTTACTATAGCACTTCCTTTCTGCTGAACTTTTTCTCTCAATTACGTGTCTTCAGGGGACATTCTTCCAGTAGTTTAACCCCTCTCTTAAGTTCCTACTCCATCCCCCAGGGCTAACAAGTCTTTGGTGTTGACCTAAAAGAAACTGAGGCTATCTTCGGAGCTCAGTTCTCCAGGCAACCTGATCAATGCTTTTCCCTGGTTGCAACCATCATATTGGGGAAGAACCCAAGGAAAGAGAGAAGACAGTCCCCCTAATCACTTCATCACGTTTCTTATTAGTCGTACATGACATATAGATTTGGGATCATTACTAGGTTATGTCGTACACACAGGGATCTAGGGTAAGAGTTACAAAAAGCATTCTAGGTTATTTTATGACTTTTTGGTACCATCACATCTACTTCTAAGTAAAAATGGTCTTATGATAACGTTTTCCAGGAAAAGCAGATGTGACTTCTGACTTAGCTTAGATCTCCCAAAGCACCGCAATTTAGCTGACCTGGTCAGAGCAGGTTTTTTGGTATCAATGGTCATTCCAAATGCTGCTCCTAAGGCCACTCCAGCAGAAGTCTCTGGAGTAGGGGCACTTTACATTTTAGTGCTTATACTAAAAAACTATCCCTTGTTTATCTGAAATTCAAATGTAAAAATACCAGTGGCCTCATGTCCCCTATGAGATTCAGAAGGTCCGGGTGTAGCCCCGCCAGGAATCTCTTAAACGGCATCCAGCTCACTGGCCAGGGCTGGGAACGCTGTTCTCCACCCCGCCGGGCCGGCCCGACCCAACGCAGGCTCCTCTGCCCGTGGAAATGCACGTGTTCGAGCTTATCCATTGCTCAGTCTTTAATGAGTTAGGCTAGTAGGAGTCGGGCCTCAGAGTCACTGACTCCGGGACTCCTGCCGTGGTGGGTCCTCTCAGCTGTGGCCCCCTTCCCCCTGCTCATTGCCAGGACAACCAGCTCTGCCACCTCTCCGCAGGCCGCCGGCTTCCCGTTTTCTCTGAGGTCCGGGGATCCAGACAGGCTTGGCCGGTAGCTCCCCGCCCAAACCGAAGTGCGGCCGAAGAAGAGGACGGAGGCAGGCCGGGCTCGGGGCTCCGTCCCACCTGCCTCTCTAGTCGTTCCGTTCCTCCGAGAGCCGCCGCCCACTTGTGAACCCTCAGCCGGGAGCCTGCAGCCCCCAGCCCCGGTTCTCTGTGCGGGGAGGAAGCTGGTTCCTGAAGGGGCGTGGCCAGCAGAACCCAGCCACAGCCAATCACAGCGGGGCCCTTCAGGCAGGGCGTGGCCTGACGGCCTCAGCTGCGCGGCCGGACCAATCGGGACCCAGGAGGGTAAACGGGTCCCCGCCGGGCGGGGTGCGCCGCGCTCGGCACCTCCCGGCTCAGAGCGCTGGATGGTTCCGAGAGGCGGAGCCGCGGCCGAGTTTTGCATGGAGCCCCTGGGAGGACGGGTCCCGGCGCTGGAGCAGCCGCAGGTCCCCACGGAGGCGCGACAGCCTGGGAGTCCCGAAAGCAGCCCGAGGCTGGCCGAGACGGTGAAGGAGCCGGCGGGCGCGGGCCCGGACCCCTCGTGCGAGAAGCTACCGCCCGCGCCTCGCCCCGCGCGCCTGCGGCCGTCGCCGCTCAACCTGGGCTACGGCGCCTTCCGTCGCCCCGGGTCCGCCGGCCCCGAG